AACTGATTTTTGAATTCACGAGAAAGCATTCGACAATTAGGAGAACGGCAGAGAACGCGTTCTTTTCTCTCTAAGAATGATGTCGACTTGTCTGGAACGTGTTCATCAGTTCGAAGAATATATTCTCAAGTATTTCTTGAGAGAAGGTCAAAGAAAGCATTCTCATTTTGATGGAATCCGATCCTGACCGTCCCAAAAATGAACTGTTCAGACAGCTTTCTCTTCAGATGAAGAACGATTTTGAACCGGGAAGAAACCATCCTATAAAAACGTAGAACGGCAAAGAATGCGTTCCTTCAGATGCATAACTCATTCTTGGCGCTCACGAACGCATTCGCCAAACTATAGAACGCGTTCTTCATGAGAAAGGTAACTTTCCATGTTTTGCTGAACGCGTTCACTTCCGTTTTTTTCCATGATTATTTTTCACTGGGTACTACTACCGTCTTGTTCCGTATTACTATTAAACGAAACAAAAAAGAAGATGAAAGAAAAAAGAAACGGGCTAGTCTATTTTGTAATTTTTTTCTCTTGAAAATGAACGTACGTATATAATAATGTGTTCTAAACATATCGTTTTATTTGTAAATGTATATTTTATAACATCATATCTGAAGAAGTTGTAAACTACAACGAAACGTAACATTAGTTCAAATAAATATTAAAAATTAAATTAAATATATTATTTTAAATTACACTATCTATCAACTAAGAAGACAATTCGATATGACTAAAGAATGGAGAGATCTCGTTATGTCTCTCGCAGTTCTTTCAAGGCTAAGTTTCATACGTTGAAAATTCCTTCCACTATCACAAGCCGTGGCAGACATGTAGAAATATTTGTCACAGTCTATGACGGGGTCAAAAGAACATCGACATTTCTGTCAGGGTCTGTAGAGGGGAGGGGGTCAAATCCGTCGGTCTAAAACTTCAACAATAATTTTCAATTGTGTTTCACAATAATACAATTCTGCTCTTTCGTATTTCTCCGCAGTTTAGATTTGACGTAAACACGAACGAGACAATGGCGTGAAGAAAAAAAAACGAGATGCGGTGTCTACTTTTTGCTATTAGTTCATAGCTAATTCACATGGTTTACAAGCAAAATGAAATAAAAATTTATGACTTTTTACATGTCCTTTAAAGTCAAACTTCTACTCATAAGCTGATTTTGGATTGTTGCACCTTCTGAGTTTCTGTTTCTATTTGTCTATGTTTGGAATTCGCACTTTCATTTACAAAACATTCATGTCTCTTAAGATTTTCTAAGTATATAGATAATTGTCCTTCGGTTTGCTTTTTATTCAGCAGAATGCATCCTACTCCACATTTTACTGAAGAACATATTCGTGAATCTTATTACACAGTTACTTCGAATCTTAATAAATATGAAAATATAGAAGATATTACTATTATTTGGTTGGACTCACATTTAGATGTATCACTCGATTGTTTTGATACAGAAAGACGTCTACGACAAATGATTGATCATATTTTAACGTTCCATTCAAAAGAGCTATTTCTGGAATATTTGAACTCCGAAATACAACAGGAACAGATATTTTTGATTGTCTCTGGTAGTGATGGAGAACTTATCGTACCACAAATTTATTCATTATCAAAAATTTCCTCGATTTATATTTTCTGTAATGATACAATCAAACATGAACAATGGACTAAAGCTTTTACCAAAATTCGTGGCGTGTTCAATACGAAAGATATGCTTTTTAAAAGAATTACATCTGATATTACATTATGTTTAACAAATTTATTACCAATTAGAATATTAGCAAAAAAAGATACCAATCAAAAGTCACTATATGATTTAACATTTGAAGGCGCACGTTCAATGTGGTTTCAACTTTTAATCGAAGCTTTAGTGAATATGAAACATTCGGATGAGGCTAAAAACGATTTATTGGAAATAAGTCGAAAACAGTACAAATATGATCGAGTTGAAACTAGAAAAATTGACGAATTTGATCGAACATACACACCTGATAAAGCTGTCTGGTGGTATACAACAGATAGTTTTCTCTATCGTCTATTAAACAGAGCTTTACGAACAGAAAATATCGATATTATTTATAAGTTTCGTTCGTTTTTGGCTGACTTAGATAATCAAATAAGAAATCTACATAAAGAACAATCATCATCACGAAAACCGAACGAAACATTTTATCGTGGTCAAAAAATACCTGCAATAGAATTAAAAACTTTACAAGAAAATATTGGTGGTTATATAGCGATGAACACATTTACATCAGTATCAGAATCAAGTGTAACCGCATTAAATTACGCAGGCAATGGTGAAGAACGACCGGAGCTGGAATCTATCCTTTTCCAAATTGAAATCAACATACCTTTATCACCATGTGCTCATATTACAAAACTTAGCCAGTTTCCAAATGAAGAAGAAATTTTATTGACTACAGGTAGTGTATTTCGTATAGTCAACGTGGAACCGTTTTATAATCGATGGATAGTAGAATTAACTTTGGATAAATCTGATAATCGGCAAATGGAAGAGCTTAAAAATTATTTAAAAAAACAACTATTTAATCAATCATCGCAAATTAATTTAGCAAGAATTTTATTTCAAATGTCTGATTACAATCGAGCTGAACACTATTGTATTAGAACGGAAAAAGAACTTGCATCTGATGATAACGATCGAGCTGGTCTTTACCAACTTTTAGGCGAGATTTATCAGAATGGAAAGGGAGATTATAATACAGCTAAAGAAATGTATGATAAAGCACTCTGCTATAGTAATAACATATCACAATTTGCAACACTTCACAACCATTTAGCATTACTTCAAAATGAGATCGGTGAATATGATACTGCTTTGAAGACTTTGAAAAAGGCTGACGCATTGTGTCGCAAAGATAATTTGTTCGATCCTTTTGTTGTCATGAATTTGGCTAATATTTATGTAAATACTGGCATTGTTTATCGTCATAAACTAGACTTTGTCAGGTCATTACAGTATTATAAAAAGGCTTTAGATCTTAACTTACAAATTCTACCAGAATTACATCCGTCACTTTCCATTCTTTACAATAATACTGGACATTTAAATTGTATTATATGTGATTATGATGCATCATTGAAAGCGTATGAAAAAGCTCTGAACATCCAATCACAATGTCTACCAAAAATACACATAGATTTAGCCACAGTACACAATAACATGGCTATTGTCTATATGGTAACGGGACGATTTTTAGCGGCTTTGGAAAGTTTTTCTAAAGCTTTAAATATGTTTGAAACATTATTAGAAACAAATCATCCAACGATAGCCACTCTACATCATAATATTGGCGACACGTACCAACGATTGAAACAGAACGATAAAGCTGTCAATTATTTAGAAAAAGCTCTAGAAATGCGTATTGAAAAGTTACCACTAACACATAAACATATTGCTGAATCATACGAAAGTTTGGCATGGACATACTACCATCTTTTGAATTATGAAAAAGCATTAGATTTCTGTGAGAAGACATTAGAAATCGAACCAGATAGTGCCAGTGCTTATCATTGCAAAGGACTAGTATTTGATTCACAATGCAACTATAATCGTGCTCTGTCAGCACTTCAGAAAGCACTTGGTTTATATGAGAACTTCCCAGCAAAACGTACTATTGCATATGTCACAGTGCATAAAACCATTGCTGATATATTCACAATTCAAGAAAAACTCAACGATGCTATCGCACATTATAACAAAGCAATAGACTTATATCATTGTGGAAAAGTATCAAATTCTACAGTCATTATAAATGTGTACAACGCACGAGGAGCATTTTTCTGTCGAACGGGAAAGTATGATGAAGCTCTCAACGATTTGAAAATCGCTTTGGACATGGCAAGAAATATTAAAGAATATTTGATACTTCCTAGCATTTTTGTAAGTATGGGTAATCTGTATCTTAAACAAAGTCGTCTCGATGAAGCATTGAAATGTATCAAAGATGCCGAAGACCATGAATCGGCATTATTTGTCGAACAGTATTCTATGAAAGGCGAAAAATTCCGTCTATTAGCAGACATATTATTTCAACAAGAACAATATGACAATGCTTTACAAAATTATAAAAATGCCTTGGAGATTTTCTCTCAATCTTCTTCTTCCAACAAACTGGCTATTGCTTGCGGTCAGATCGATTTAGGTCGCACCTATGAACGGAAATGTTTATATGACGAGTCATTAAGTGCTTTTCTAGAAGCATTGCATTTACTGACGATACTATTTGCATCTAATCATCCAACTATTGCAGATATATACTATAAAATTGCTCGTATTCACAAAATGCGACACATTGATGACATAGCTTTTAGCGCATTTGAAACAGCATTGCATAAACAACTTCATTCAACATCAATCAATTACCCCGTTCTCGCAGATATATACGATAATCTGGCTGATATTGCATTCGAATTAGAACAAATTAAAGAATCACATCAATATTATCAAGAATCTCTCGAAATACGACTAAAACACAATCCATATGATGCATTTCTCTCGTATGTGAATATGGGTCGTTTAAAAAACAATCAAGGACAATATTTGGAAGCGGAAGAATTATTTAAAAAAGCAATTGATGCATATGTTTCGGATAACAGTTTCGCTGCTAGTTACAGTCTTGCAAAAATTTATATTGATTTAGCTCTTGTATATAATAGTGTAGAAAAATACGATAAAGCTATGGAGACAATTTCTAAAGCAACTGAAACAAGACAAATCGACGATGAGAAAACAGACTCGTTAATCATGTACGCGATCGCATACATTTATCAAATGCAAAACCAGTATGACGAAGCATTGGATTACTATAAAAAAATATTACGTAAATCTCATCTAGCTATGGATGATGAAACTCTAGCGATGACCTATATTCGCATTGCTGGTATCTATTATGAGCAAAAACAATTTAGATTGGCTATAGAACACTGTGAGAAATGTTTTAACTATAAGTCCAAAAATGTAAAATTAGATGTAATATATGAAAGTATGGCTAGACTTTATAAATGTCTTGGAGAAAAAGAAGAAAAAGAAGCCGCTAAATGTGAATATTACAAAAACGCTATCGATATTTGTAAGAAAATGTTCGAATTTTGTTCATCTGATCATAAACAATTATGTAAAATACATAGTATGATTGCTGATTTATACCTTCAATTGAATGATATAGATTTAGTAATCGAACACAATGAATTATCGCGTGATCATATACTTAATGTATCACCAATAAATTACAATGATTTATTAGATATTTATGAAAATTTAATTTATGCTTATACACTTCGCGATGACAAACCAAAAGTAATTGAAAATTATGAACATGCTCTCAATATATATCTCAATAATGATCATTCACAAGTGATCGAAAATTTCAAAAAAGCAGCAATAATTTGTAATAATGTTAGCTCACTCTATTATGAGTGTCAAAATATAGAAAGGGCTCTTGAATATATGGAGCAAGCACTTCAATTCGAACTAAAAACTAATGTTTCAACATCAGAACTTGACGATCAAGCAATGTTTTCGCTTGCTTCTACTTATTTAAACTTAAGCACACTCTATGAAAAATCGGGTAACGTCGAAAAACAAATTTCGAATTTAAAAAAGGTGTTAGATATATACAGAAAACTCATGAGTACTGACAGCTTCGCCGAAATTTTTATACATATAAATATAATACAAATTTGTCAAGATTTGGGTGATTGTTACGAAAGAATGAACGATATTTCTCTTGCATTCGAATATTATCAAAAAGCTATTAGTTATCTACAAGAATCAAACACAACTGAAGAAACGAAACGCATCAAATATCAAGAACTTTCGGAAAAATTAGATAAAATAAGGATACACTAAGTTGACGAGTATGAAAATTTACAATCATAGAA